GCTCTGATTTGGCTGTCCAATTTAAAATCACTGTCCACCTTAAAACCAAGATCTGTAATAACAGGTTTAAAATATTCCTCCAAGGGTCCCAGGTCAACAGAGGAGGACTCACAGGAGCCACTGGGTCCAAACACCATCACCTCTGTTTTGTTTTCATTAAAATTTAAAAAGTTCAAGGCCAACCAAGCTTTAATATCACCTAGACATGCCAGGAGATGTTTGATAGAATGTACATCCTTTTGCTTCAGGGGCAAATAAATCTGACAATCATCAGCGTAACAATGAAATGAAATCCCATGTTTCCTGAGGACAGAACCCAGAGGCAGTAAATAAAGAGAGAAAAGCAGTGGGCCCAGAATTGAGCCCTGCGGGACACCATAAGGCATTGAAGCAGCAGATGATTCAGAGTCACTAATTTTGACTGAAATTGTTCTCTCCTCCAGGTAAGACCTGAACCATTTAAGAACAGTGCCACCAATACCTACAATATGCTGTAATCGCGATATTAAAATGTCGTGGTCTACTGTATCAAATGCAGCAGTTAGGTCAAGTAAAATCAGAACAACATGGTTACCAGAATCACATGCAAAGATGTCATTAAAAACTCTTATTAAAGCAGATTCTGTGCTATGAAGAGTTTTAAAATCTGAGTGAAAAACCTCCAGAATGCCATTGTCATCTAAAAACTGTCAGCTGGCAGTACACAATTTTTTCTAAAACCTTAGAAAGAAAAGGCAGCTTCGAAATAGGCCGATAATTAGCCAGAACAGTCGGATCAAGGCCAGGTTTTTTAAGCAGTGGCTGCACAACTGCATGGTTAAAACTAGCAGGGACCACACCTGAGGACAGACTGCTATTTATAATTGCAAGAACAGGCATTTAGGATCTTAGTGAATATTTTTGATAAGCTTGTCAGAAGAGGACGTGCTGGTCTCAGCGTCCTGGTAGTGTTCAGTTTGTCACCTGCCGAAATCAACTCAAAACCTCTAAAATCACATTTTCAAGAATCTGGTCACCGTTTTTGGACAATGACAAAAACCCTAGTCACATTGACACTCAATGTGACTAGGGTTGCCACCCGTCCAGGAAAAAGTACCGTACTTTAAATGTGCCGTGCCGTTAAATGTAGCATCACGTATTGAACCGATACAGGACGTGATTTGTCCCATATTCTACAATTGTGTATGTGTAAAAACAAAGAGGTGGTCCCCGAGTACTTTATATAGTAGGCTGCCCCAGTCATTATTTGACTCATGGTGTTGGTGTTGTGATATTGTACACAACTGCTTTCTGGGTAACACACACTAACCGACATGCTGCCGCTGCAGGCCCCCTGGTTTACATATATAGGGGCCACACACCCCTGCCCCCCTTCCCGCTTTACATATATAGGGACTGGACCCCTATTTTAATTTCTAAAAGGTGGCAACCCTAAATGTGACCCCATGAGTGGTGCTCCCCAGTTGCAACGGCATACACCCTTAATCTAAGTCTTATAACAATTTTAGTAGTACAGAATACATTAAGCCCTCTAGGTGCCCTGTTTTAGTTGTTTTGTGTCTAATTTATATCTTTTTTACTTTCCATAACCTCTGTTTGTTTGCTTTTTTAGTTATCTACTTCTTATCCATGTACCTATGGAAATAATAATAATACCTATGACCTCTTCTGACAGGCTTATCAAAAATATTCACCAAGATCCTAAATGTTTGTAGCTTCATTAAAAAAAGAATTATAAAAAAAATCAACAAAACATGTTAAAATTAAAAATCTCAGTAATTATTGTTTCAACAAGTTGTTGCGCTTCGGTTCCATTAAAATATAAAAAATATATATTATATAAACTACGTTTGTAGCTTCATTATATATATATATATATATATATATATATATATATTTATATGCTAGTAATAGCATAAGAAATTTGATGTGGTAAGCCCTCCCATTTCCTTACTTTTCTGTAGGATACTCTTTTGTGTTCTAGGGGGTTTCTTGTTCTATATGAACTGAAAAACTGAAGCACTGAGTGTTCTAAAAAAGTTTTGGGATAAACACTGGTAAACACTGAAAAAGGTACAAGAATTTCGGCAAAACATTCATCTTGAGACAGCTAACCCTGCCTGCTAAAGAAAGTGGCAGCATGGATCAGCACTGTAAGTCCCAAGTCAGCTGGTCAAGGAAGGGAGTAGAATTGATTTTAAAAGGTTGTGACTAATTCTTAGTTACATGGATTCCCGGGTACTTAAATCCTTGCAGAGAGATCCTAAATGGTAAACTAGTGAGTGGGTAAGCTGTAGCTGCATCATTAATTGGAAATAATTAACTTTTATTAAAGTTCAGTTTATATCCAGATATTTGTCCAAACTTCAAGCAGGTTTCTGGGTCTGAGAGAAAGGGTAAAAGGTCATCGGCATACAAGGAGATTTTATGGTCTAGACTCTAGACCACTTCTTGTGATGCCATGCATGGGACTGGAGCTAAAGGTTCTATAGCAATAGCAAACAAATGAGGGGAGAGTGGACAACCCTGGCAGGTTCCACGGCCTAGGTCACAGGTGTCAAACTCCAGTCCTGGAGGGCCACTGCCCTGCAACTTTTAGATGTGCCACTGCTGCACCACACCTGAATAGAATAATTAGATCATTAGCAGGGCTCTGGAGAACTTATCTACACAAAAAGGAGGTAATTAAGCCATTTCATTCCAGTGTTTTGTACCTGTGGCCCATCTAAAAACTGCAGGACAGCGGCCCTTGAGGACTGGAGTTTGACTCCCCTGGCCTAGGTGAAAATATGCTGAGTGGTTATTATTTGTGTGAACACTGGCTAATGGAGAAGCATATAACAGTCTATAGTTAACCCACACATTGTGAATGAATAATGTTAGAGTTGTTACCTGTAAGAAGCCAAGTGCTCTACCAGATCATCATACGCTGTCAGAATAGCATACATGCAGTGAGTACGCATGCGCATTAAGAAGTCTGACTTTCAGAGGAGTTGTCAGTTCTGCATATGTGATAAGTTACGACAAAATAAGTCAATAAATTGTTTTCAAAGATAGCTAGATATACAAGCATTGTCGTGGTTTTGAAGTGTATTTATTGCAGAGTCCAGCTAAAGCTGCAGTCAACTACAACACAAGCCCACGAACAACCTGCCCCCTGTTTTCTTGATGATGGTCTGACTAGTTAACTGCTGAGTCAGGATGTCATACAGCTGTTAATAACAAAGTGTATGATGATCTACGTCATGATTATATGTTGCTGATTAAATTAAATCATATGGTAATGACAGCATATACTTGTCCGACAGATATAGCCATCAGTTTGTGTTAAGCGTATGACGATCTGACAGAACACCGTCTCTATGGCTGTGCTGGCAATTTTTGCAGGCCTGAATCGCTGCCAACAAAAAAGTTCAGTTCATCTCCAAGAAGACAAACAAAATATGCGTCCAGTTTTTGGCTTTTCCTTGTGCTATTTTTTCCATGCTTTTCACTTTGCTGCTCCCTGGAACTCCACTCATGATAACTTAGTCCGTAAAAATGCTCCATCTGGTTTGCCATCTGTTGCCAAGTGACTGATGATGACGTTGGTGGATGGCTAGTGACAGGTTTTACCCAGAATACACTTGGAGACAATATGGGCAATCCTCTTGTAATTTTGTGTGTCATAAAGTTAAATGTAAGACTAAAATTAAAGCCAGTAATGTAGCACAACATTTAATTCAATATTTTACACCCACTATGTCACTAAAATCAGTCGGTCTTGTAAAGTTTTTAGCAACTATGAGTCAACAATGACTGATCAAACGTCATAAAGGTTTGAATCCTTGAAGTTACATTCTACCTCCCAGCTAGCCCCCCCTCTGCCCTGGCCGGAGCCCACCTTACTCCCAGGAGCAGAAACCCTTCCTAGGAACATAAGACCTTTTGGGGATAACATAGCCTACATTTGCTTTGCATTGTTATTCAATGTGCCACTTTGTAATTTTAAGCCCCTGCTCCTCCAAAGGTCTCTGCACGGCCTTAATCTGAGTAATGAATGTACAGTACATTGTCTTGAGCGATGGATCTGCTCCTCATTAGTTTTTGCAGTCACCGTCTTGTTAAAACACCCATTTCAAAGGCATTTCCTCTTTAACATCTGATCTCTTCAAGTCATCTTCCATTTAATTCAGTTTAGTGCTTCAAAAATGTATTTCCATCCTTATAGAGTCCCCTGGTTTTACTCTTTTTTTTCTATCAGATCATCAAACAAATTTTAAGGTGAGTGATGGAAAATGAAATGATATAATGGCAGATTGGTATCGGTCGATGTTAGTTTTGAACTTGCCGGTATCAGTTCAACTGGACTCATAACAATTGATACTTTCTAACAATCTCCAAATTGTTACTGTTTGCGTTTGTTGATCCTCCATTTACTCAAACTGATCAAATCTTTCCCCTCATATGTAGAATAAATAGGGGATATAATTGCTGTTTTACAGCCAGTGCATTGTGTTATACTGTGTTTGTCTTTCTAAAACTGATTCTGTAAATATTTTTGTGCAGTCTCATTCGGAAATACAAACTATATGAACTTCTCTTCATGAAATCCACAGAGGAGCATCTGACAGGGATGGAGGTGAGACTGCTTCTGGTGTCTGTATCTACTGTATGTCCCCTTCTATTGACATGTCAACACGCTCTGTTTCAGAGGACCATTCAGAGATTTGGCTGTCAAGATGCTCATACCTCACTGGAGGAAAGCATTTCCACCTACTTCTACTTTAAGTAAATAAATTTAAAATTTCATATAACATAACACTGTACGAAAAGTGGCGTTTTTGACCCTGTACACTGACGCCAGGCATGTGCAGAGGGCGGTGGGGGTGTGTCTTGGGCCCCTGCCCCTTTTATCCTTGATGCTCCTGGTGCCCTTTTTTTGTCTCAAAAAATGTTTTTCAATTTTTTATATATATTTTTTTTATCTGTATGTCAGAATGCCTGCTTGTGCCGCTCAGCAATAATGTTTAGCTAAATATAATAATTTAGCAAAATAAACTAGTCTGGCTGCCCTCAGTCTAATAATGACTTTCAGTTTCTGTGCCTCCATGTTGTTCAGACGGGTCCATGGTGAGGAGGAGGGGCGGATCTGTGCCTCTAACAAATTATGGGCAGGAATATTTTTATTCACAAACCAAATACACTGGTTTGTGAATAAAAA